TACGGTCTGTACGAGTATCGACCTGCCATCAGCTGGCGTGTAGGTAATTGTCACAGCGAGAAAGTTGCAGGCTCCGAGTGTGCCCAGCATGGGCATACTAGCTACAGCTGTGCAGAATATGGCTATATCCATGATGAGAGTACTGGTTGACGTAGTAGCGCACTCAGCCACTCTGATTCTGCAAGCGGAGGTATGTGGCAGCAAGCTACGCTGTATAATCTGGTTATGGATGTCTTCATCAGCTAGCAGAGATTATCAAGATCCTTGCAGTCTATGTATTGGGATTGTTCTCCGGTTGTCTGTCGCTATGGAGCTTTTCATAGGTGTGTAATTTTGTCTATCCCATCAGGAATATCTTCTAACTCCCACTATTGTCTATCAAATAGAAGGCGTTTGAAGTGGGCGAGGGCATAGCTGGAGATGACGTATATTTCTTCACTGAGAACCTGCAGCCTGTATACGAGCATAGCTGTGACTTACTTCTTCCTTTACCCTTGGCCATCAATGACACCGTCGCCTTCCTTATATCTTGCTCGCTCTCTTCTGCGATGGACTCGGAGAGTTTCCGTTCAGCTCAAACACTACTGTCGTGGCGTGGACTATACTACACGTGTCACAGTCTGGTATATGCTATATCTTACCTATCTTCACGCCCGTATTGGACCCACAAGCCTCTTTCCAGAGCCCCGTATCAGGTTTCATTTGGATGGTTTTTCACAAGATGTTACCGTGCAGACGACGTCACAGCTCGGGTGAATCACTCGTGAATCCCTTTCATATAGTCACAGCGGACTAAGGGAACGTGAAGCACGCCGCAACTCGTCGACTTGACTCGGCGATATGCAAGTACTCGGAGAAGAGCACGTGAGAGCGGCTGGGTGGCTGTCTCCACAGTTTGTACACGGACTTGTGATTATCACATCAAGTTCTCTGACCGAGAGCGTGAAGGAGAGGCAGTCGTGCGCAATTCGGCGGAAAGCGCTCGCAACGTCGCACAAATTGGACGGTCAATATCATAGGAAAGAAGGGAAAAGCAAAGAACACTAGATTATATGGAAGGCGACGATACTGTCGATCGAAAAGACATTTAGAACGGATGGCGATGTCCTGAAGACGAGTCTTTCCAAAATTATCGAGACAAAAAGGAGAAGGAAGACGAAGCGCAACAGACACTTATTGATATCATTGACACGGTGATCAATGAGGCAAATGCATCCAATCTCGCACAGGAACTGGTATCGCTTTCGAGCAAGATGTTGAAGGAGATGAAGAACGTCGAGATGTTCGCCAGAGGCGATGACACGTGACAAGGTGACGCATACAGACCAACATTGCCATCAGGTCGAATTGCCTGATCCCACGGTATTAGGGCGACGTGCCACAAGCGAAGTGCGATCCCACATCGCAGAGCCAAAGGATGACAGTGAGAACTAGCACGAAAATAATTGAGTCGAGAAGTAAGGGAGGATATGGTCTATGTCAATGACATACACGACACTGATTGTCCGTTATATGAGACATCTAACATGGGGGTAAGATGCGGGTGGCAGTATATATATAATAGCATCGATTATCGAGTGTCACTACGGCAGAATTCAGCGAGTTAAGTGAGTTATTATGCAGCAGCGAAATGACACACCCAGCACTTGATCCGTTGCGAGTAGCTTGGCGTTTGGGCGAAGCTATTTCGTTACATCACGGGACAATCGGGCATGGAAGACTTAGAAGAAAAAACTGACCGCAGCAAAACATACCTGGGGTCACACAGTCGTAACAGGATGTAGACCCCAACCTCCACAAACCCGGATATCTCTGTAGACGACGGTTCTTCTTTTCCGAGGGCTGTAGTAGGGGCGGCAGAGACCCACCTCTCAGAGTCAAATAGATACTCAGTGTTAAGGGCGAAGCAGTGTCAGCCTTTAGAGGAGGCGATATCTGTGTGGCGAGAAGGGACGAACAGGGGCGATTAGCGAGTTGAGCCGTGCATGCGTGGAAAGGATTGTGTGTAAGTGAATCTAATGCAGCGCGAGAGTGTGGTGGAATAATGGTGGATTCACGAGAGGAAGGTGGAACAGAGGCGGGCAAAATATGAATCATTGTGGCGCAGAAACAGAGAAAGGAGCATACCAATGTTGTACACCCACACATTCACTACTCCCCCTTCCCAAGTTGAATGCCGACGAGGGCAAGTGATAAAAAGCATCAAATTAGTCCGCAGCTGGTAAATGAGTGAAAGGCCAAAACGAATCCGAACAGACAAACAGAGGTAGCACCAGGAATGGCGAAGATGTTGCCGCTGACGGTGTGCGATTTCAGTAAGCAGATGGAATCTCAAGTCTAAAAGCGGTACAGTCATCCTATGCTTCCATGGATATTCGTTCAAATTTGTTTAAACTTGAAAAGGAGTAAAGGAAACGTACGTGATAGAGCCCGATCCTATGCTGATTGCACATCCCACAACGCATCAAGCGGTTCGACTTCACGCCTGCTATATCCCTCGCTTGAGCTCTACCCTTTACTCTAGTCCTGTAGCGGCGTCACCAATCAGATAAAAGATCATCGAGGACCATCGTGCAGATGGAGATGGGGCGTATTAGGGGTCAGGATGGTACAGGGTGCGTTGAACGGGGCTGCACATTGGGTGTCAAGTTCTGTGGGTCCTATGGCTGTCCAGTCATCTAGGTTCTGACTGTGAGTACGACCTGATTATGAGAAGATTCGCTTTGGCCAAGAGACGGGCCGAGGGCAAGGGGGGGACATATGTACAGTGTTTTAGGCTTGTGGATATGAACGAGCACGATCGCACCAGCAGTTCAGGTTGGCCGTACTCCTTGTTACCGTCAGCAAATTAATCGCCGGAATACTTGGCCATCTGACGCCACACATAGTCAAAGGCTCGACGTGATCCTCGAGAACCGGACACAGCCGGCAGGCTGAGTAGTAAATCACGTAGGGACGTTGGCGTCCGTAACTACTATATGCCTGACCCAGTTCTGCAAATTTTATAGTAATGCAAATTCCGACTTTGTACTTCGAGTTCCCTTCCGCTCGTCTTGAAAATATTCCACAAGGTGAAGATACTGTATAGAATTGTCCTTGGGTACTTTGTTTGACGAATGTCATGCATGAACCACCAAAATACTCAATAATGTCGAAAATTCCCGCTACTTTAGTAGTGGGTCTTACAGGAAGTATCGATCGGTTTTTGGCTTGTAATGCGACGACCTTCCCTATATGGTAGATGCTGACCAATTTCTGACTCAGCTATCCCGCCTGAGTTCGCCACAGTTCGTGACAAGTTCGTGAACGTCCGTTTTGTCAATCTACTGCTAGTCCAAGTCATGACAGAATTGTTTCTAGAGTGTTCATTTCTGTTCATGTTTTTAGATCGTAACCTCGGCAAGGTGTGCATGTGAAGTGTGACATACATGTACTATGTTTGGGTCACGAAGCTGCTGGGCGAAGCCCTGCAGCGGCAGTGACCCCTCACTTGCTGGAGAAGTAGCACGTCATACATACTCTTGGGACGTTGCTAATTCTTCAATCGCTGACTCGCAGTTTGCTCCGGAAAACAATTCGAAATTATGAGATCAATTGATCATCTTGTGCTGCTCGTGGCCAATATGTTAGACTGGTACTTACATTTGGAGCAAAGATAAGTAGCGGGACCTGCCGTTCACCGGCCTTACGCCTGCGTTATTTGCACTACGGACTTGCGACGCGTGTCGGAATAGGTCGGAATGCTTCCGGCCCGCCAAAAGTGCAAATTTGCATTACGGGGTGCAGGCACTCGTCGTCGCGCTCGACATTGACAACCACATCGCCCCTTTTAAAAAATGCTGATAAATTTGCAGTACATAGCTGAGATGTATGCACTTATGGTTGGGTGAAAATCTGGCTCGAATACCTCCGTACTATTGGCCCATCTGGCGCTTTTGAATCTTCCTCACCTTACCTTCCATGCGGTCAGGTGCCTTCCCAGTCTAAGTCGATAAGGCGCCGTCAATGTTCACATGCTCCTCAACGTCCAGTCCTCCAACATCTTAGCTCTCATACAGTGCACACATCCCTAGTCAGTGTGGAAATACATAGCTTGTTGCATATTCATTCGATATCTAACATCACCCTGGCAGGCTATAAATATAGTACGAATAGGTCAGACATGTCAGAGGCAGAATGGCAACATACCTCGTACCGTGATGACAGGGTGACGCCGTTTTTCCACTATACCTGATGTCAATTACTCATAATTTGAATGTATGAAGCGACATCGCAGACCGACAAGTGCCTCCGCACTCCGTCAGCCAGGAGAACAAGGATGGGGGTCTATCTCTGCCATCCGAGCCGCCAAGGCCCTACTCGTCGTCTTCATTGCTGTCATATTGTCGAGATCTTTCCCGCACGCTACCACAAGCACCAACATCCTCTGCTCATCCCACTTCCCGCTCTTCTGCCAGTCTGAGGATGGATATATTGGCAACTTTTTTTCGAATGTCCATTCTCCAAGTTACGGTAGCCGCTCCGCCGCAAGATACTACCCCTCGCTGATGAATATACAGAGCGAAGCTCTGCGACTATTATTGGACGTCACACACGAAAACTCAGGGGTAGCCTTGGAGTTGGTGAACCTACGGATAGCCACATCGGACTTGTGTGCGGTAGTGAGTGCGAGTGACTTGAGAGATAGAGAAGTCGTGTATACCACCTTGCGTGGTGTCGCTACCGACATACAAGCCCTAGGACGTCGGCTGACGAGGTCTAGGGCTCATATTGATGGATTTGCAGACACGTAAGTCTTACAGTACTACACGATGAATAACACTTTCTGATATTGCAGAAGCATTCTCGCAGTTAGCGAATTCTCAGCGCGCTCAATTCAGGCATCAACTACGAATCGGAACCACGACTCTGATTCCTCTCCCTATACCAAGCCGCATGCGTCATCAAAAATCATAGCAAAGACTTTCCAAGACTTCCTCGATACCCTTTCACTCCGTACCCAAAAGCTGCTCCTAGAAACCAGTGAAACATCGCTTGTGCTAGGCAGTCTTGAGAGGCGCCTATCACTCATACAAAACCTCATGTACCAGAGCTCAGCATCACTTCACTCAGTCACCAAGGACGACGTATTGGCCGCTTTGTGGGAGGAATTGACTCGTGGGCGCGCGGATTCCCCGAACGTGAAGCGCCATTTCGCCACACTCGCTAGTGCAAGCTCTTCATTTCGATTTGCCATGGAGTCGTCGGCGAAGGTTTATGGGTTACTGCACGAACTAGAGCGTAATACTGCCATGATGAGGGACATGTCCATCAAGTCAAACTCCATGGAGGGTATGAAGGAAGTGCCGACCAGGTTGCTCGTGCAGAGCATCGATAGAGCCGCAGAACGGATTCGTGCAGCACAGGATGCTGCTGACGCAGGGGAGAAAGACCTTATAGCTAGGTGGCATGGAGTTGATTTAACATGAGTCGACGGACACCACAGTTGCCTGCGAGTGTGGCATGGTATATATGTTCGGTATTGGAGTCAAGGATCTTGAGTTAGCTATCAAACCTTTGTAGACCGTGCATGCAAACTAATCAACATCTTGTACAACTGATGATTGCTGTAGCCCTGACATTGAGCAGTTTCTTCTGTGAAAATGGCAGCTAATTTTGCCGGGACACAGTCAGATTCTGCCGGTTGTCAAAAACTGTTTTATCGAGGAAGATAGCCACATCGTTATCATATTTCTTGAAGGAAGGAAGAACGATACCTTACCAAACCAGGTCAACTGGTGTATCATTCCCTACAATATCATGGCACACTAAAACGGAGCGGAAGAACGATGCATCACAGCCGAAAAGGAAGAGACAGCTCGGAAGCCTGCAGTTGTACACTAAGGCTGGAACTCTGAAGGAAATATGATATTCCGTGAAGAATCTCACGAAACAACATTAGTTCTATACTCGTGTATAGAAACATCAGACCTGCTGTTTTGATGACATAGCCGGAACACAGCCCAAGCAGGTGGAAAGTGTCCTCATAGCCAATGACTCATGAGGGGAAATGATAAAAAATTAGAAAATGATCGTAACAGCGGGAGATACAATTACCAGGGGACTTACTCTGAAATGGTACAGCTCAAACCGAAACCGAGTTGAAGCAACCGATGCTGATAGAATTAGTATCACGTAGAGCGGGAGAGCCTGTCCTGTCAGCGGTATCTTGTTTTCCAGCTTTGAGGACGACCATAATAAAAATATGAACCATCTCCAGAGAATCTACAAAGGACTTGAGCCTCTCAAACCAGCGTACAGCTTTTTTCTGAAGTCATTGGTACTAGGCCGTTTTTGACCCTCTCATCTTCCCGACGTCCATATTTGCTCTCGGGCGCTTTAACCGTCTCCATGTAGTCTTAAGTCCCCGCGATCGATTATATCGCTCAGGCATACTGCCCGCAATTTCCATAACGAGATCTACGACCAAACTTTCTTAGAAACTATCTTTTTTTCATACGACGTTTTGGGCACGGGTGTGCCCGTCTCTCCTATCATGTGGTCCACCATCTCGCCCGCAATGCACGCTCCATTCCTGGACTTTCTGTCTTCTGAGTTCTCATAAGTTTCTCAAGACGTTATCAGCAGGGCGCAATACCATAACAGCGGTGATCTTGACGGACGAGCTTTGACCGAAGGTGCGATACTCGCAATGGTTGACTACCTATAAATATTACGCTACCCGTGAGCCTTCCCCTAATCGACCTTGTCATCGTAATATCTGCTGCCTGCATATCATCCACATACATGCCACCCAGATTGTCAAGGCCATCTGAGTTGAACCGTCCTGTAAGACCATTGTTATGTCAATCACCGTGGATGAGTTTAACGTGGCATTGTTTAACAGAATCGCTTCATCCTCCCGGTGGAGTTGACAGCGATGGTATTCAAATTTCTTTTACTCAGCAATGCGAGAGACACCGTAGCACGGTGCTCACGCGTATGCAGAATCTGGTACTGGATTGCAATCACTGTCCTGTGGACCCATATCGACCTTGATTGGTTCCGTTTGCTCGCACCGTTCGAGCCGACCGGCGAAAGCCTTTACGATTCGACTTTGGTGAATCCGGCCTCTTACCTTGACAGGGATATGTCCACCACTTACTGATTAAGAATTTCAGAGTCTTGTTGGCGAATCTACAGCGAGGAAGTGGGAACTCTTTTTGCGCTTTGCTAAGGCGACGAGGTCCCTCGACTTTCACTGGAACGGAAGGCCCTGCAACCTCGACACATTCTTCCTCGACGAGTTCGCGTACTTCCGTGATGAAAACCCCATTTTCCCCAAGCTAAGGTCACTTAGCGTTGGAATCAAATCATTCGTGGTTTCGTTCTACCCTCGCAGCCTCACAAAGCTCTCCCTTGACTTCGGCTCCACGCACGTCGACGATTACATCCTGGATCGCGCTTCCCGATCCCTGTCATTCGCGAGTCATCGTTTCAACAGTCTCACCGTCCTTGATATCCGATCAGCCACGGTCCTGGAACAACCTTTGTTCGCGAGCGCGTTGGAAGACTGCTTGATGCAGTGGAACACCCTCGTCAGCTTTGGCTGTCCTTTGTATTTTATCAGGGACCGAGAGCTGCGGATACTAGGGCAATACCCTCATCTCATGCGGGTCGGTGTCGACGTAGACGGAGCAGAGAGGGGGTTCTGGATGAGTGAGGACCGCGTTCGTACCCACGATCACGCCTATCTCGACCTGCTCGCATTCAGCCAGCTACGCTGCCTCGAGATCGGGACCGCTGGTCTTCCCGCCCTGCGATCACTTCTCTCACCCCTCCACCTCTTACTTTCACAACTCGAGACGCTTTGGGTTCGTGCTCCCTACCCTCTCCAGTGTCAACCCTCGCATCTACATGACCTGCTTGAGCTCCTATCTGATCATTCCCCGAACCTCCGTCGACTCACGTTACGCCTCGCCGCTTCGCATACATGGAACCCCAAAACCGAGGATGACATTCGAGTTGTCGAATGGCAGCATCTCCAATCAATTACAAAGATGCGGCTTGAAGTTATCGATCTTTTCTACACACTCCCTTTTCGCATCACCGATGCGAACATCGAAGAGTTTGCGGCGAGCCAGCCAGAGGCCATCTCGATCGTGCTGAATCCACAGCCCATTTTTATACATTCGAGCTATTTGACGATCGCCTCCGTGGAAGCATTCGCACGCTTTTGCCCAAAGCTACAGTCCCTTGCCCTCTACATCGACGCTGAGACAGTCATCCCTCGGTCTCTTCCCACGTCACAATTCAGGTCGCTTGAGCACCTTCGCATGGGCCATTCGAACATAGTAGACGGTGATGTACGTGATTGCGAGAACTGGATCCAGCTGGTCACATTTTTCCATCATATACTCCCGTCAACGACCAAGATTTGGTCCACTTACTATGATCAAAGGCGAGATTTGGTCGATGGTTTCACATTCATTGGACAACGCCATTACGACATCTATACTTACGGGAGACGGTGGAAGTCCTTGTACCTCTGCACTCGTTGCATGCCGAGTCATCACGACGAGGATGTGCAGCTTCATGGAGGCAACGAGTAAATCAACTAGGTATGCCAAAATCCCTTTTTAGAGATGTCACTGCAAGTATTATGTAGCATGCTGACCATATCTGCCAGGGCAGAAGAATCTTTTTTTGGGTGACATCTATAGGAGTGACGTCGTAGTATCTACAACGACCTTTATCTATTTCTTACCTTGATATTCTGTGCTGTCCTTCTCAAAGTGTTTCCATCAGTGGAGGTTGATTGATAGCTACGTATATCGTGATGTATGATTACTGTTATGCAGAGATGTAGTATTCAGGTGCGGAAAGAAAGGAGTGGTACTGAGCTGAAATGGAGACCAGCGTAAGCTCTGCAAATCAACGATGAATCCTCCACTCTGAACGAACAGCTCGGGCTTTTCCTCGACGTTGCCTACATGAAGGGGTTTGGTTCATTTATATTTTCCGCCCACTTAAGCTTATCACTGGAAGCAAAGTTTCGATATCTTTCTCTATGATCCTCACTGTAAACAATGGACATGCGCATAGTAAGAACATGCTCGGTCCCGAACTGTGCAATAGTACCATCCATAATTTTTGACGGAATGCCTTATTCCAAGGAAAGTGCCCTAGAATACTAACGAATCCGAATGATGTCGCAGGAGGCTCCAGAGGCCTCTGTCCATTACAGGAACGGTATTCCTCGACATGTACGGGGATCATCTAATTGCTGAGTAGTCCCACTGATCAATCGTGATTTAGTTGCCATCAGAACATGCATAATTACATCACCATGAAACTTAGAAGGGATTCATAAACCATCTTGCAAGCTTGGATCGGATGGATACCCTGTCTTCCGGCTAATATATGTACAAGTACAGTTTCGGGTTTGAAGAATGTCTGCGGTTGTGGAGCCAGGAGTCCCCGGCTGTTCTGAATAATACGGAAATATTATAAATTTCTCTCTCTCAAGAATAGGATGGGATCGAAGACCTCCAGACCTCCTCTCGGAATTCGTCGGTGGCGGGCTCGGTGGAATATGCCTGTAGTGCTCGCCAATATGCCGGGGTTTTCTCAAAGAAAATCCGCAGCAGAGATCATGAAGGTTCAGGAAGACACAATACTTCTGAAGCGGCTACTGACCACAGTCACATCGAGATCATAAGATGCTCAGCCAGGAGATACGTCTGTCTCCGAGGAAACGGCATTATCATGGCGGCATCCACCCACACAGATACGTTTGGGGATCGTGTTTTGCAAATGAGAGGGGCTTTCTGTTTTGGAAAGGCTGCGATAGGAGAACTGCATTGACGTTCAGAGCCAGGGGCAAGGCATGACGCATCTTCGCGGCCGTCCCATCTTTCAGAAGAATTCTCTCTCTGACCGGAAATCCTCGTCGTTACCTCGTCTCCCCGAACATTCGTGTTTCGAATCGAAAGACAATACGCACCAGGCAAAATAGTAGTATAGTTATGGATTCCGATCCCGGTACGTATGATGTAACGGTAAGAACCTGCGAAATCTGGAGGGCTGTGTCAGATTCACTATGCACGAACAAGCCTGCCATATATCGCGACTGGCAGGAAAACTGTCGAAGTCTGGATCATGATGGACATACTGATACATAAGTTTACGAATATACATCCAAGCTGCGGGTCACAGGTTAGTGAAGAATGCTGTCAAAAAAGTAGAATGGGCGGACATCGTACGAACGTTGAACACGGTTTTCCACATCCACCAACTTGAACATAGCCATCGTAATCCAGTGGACATCAACGCAGGGGAAAAGCTGGTCAAATTCAACGAGGACCAACTATTATACGTGCGCGAGGGACCAGTAGTGGTAGAGGGAGCTGAGGGAGCTGATCAGGTAGAGAGGCTTCACTATCTGGGCCACAACTTCGTGTTCTCCATGCGAGAACCTGGACTACAGACTTACCATACTTATCCTGCGTAGATACAATGACACGTTAGTAGACTTACATCAATGATTTCTTATAGGGTGCTATTCTAGTGAAATGCGGGAAATTTTGGACACATTAGAGAGTCGTTTCTCAAGACCTGACTGCAGTGCTAGGATCTGTGTGGCGTAAGCAGTGGGCGTGAAGTGGGCCAATTGTTTGCGCATGCTTGCGCTCCGAAATCGCGTCGCTTCCGAATGTTGATTAGAGCGTTTTCGCTGTCGAGTGCGACAGCTGTTGCGCCGGTGGGGCTGTCGAGGTCGCCAGAGATCTGTTGTGGAGCGAGCCTAACAGCACCTCCGACGGCTGGATACTCCTGATGGCTGCCTTTGTGGCGAGCACGCATCCTCCTGTAAAAAATTCCGGGAAAATATGGCACATGCAGTACACCAAGATTTTATACCCATCTCAGTGGTCAAAAATGTGTTTGGAATATCTTTCGTGGAGGGGACAGGACCATTAACCATGTGTGGAGCATCCCGAAGGGCGATCTCGTCATGGCGACATGAAGCGCCTGCGGCGACTTACTCTGTCGCAGTCGCAGCGACAGCTGTTTGACCTCTTTGCGAAAACGCTCTATTAGAGTCTAATGAGTACTGTACGTCCCAGCAGTTAGACGACACTTACATAACGTGGGAACCCCCCTTTGGCGGGAGACCCGCGCAAAATTGGCGGGGGCGATGGGCCCCTTGGGACACCGGACGTCGCCTAACGTCTGGGAGGTACAGTACCGGCGTTCCCACCAAGCACCATGTCCATTGCAAATTGACGGACTTTGAAAACTGCCGGGCAAGCCGCATCCCATTTCGACGCGGGCCACAGTAAGACTCACCGATTTGGCTGGGTGGCACCTATGTATGAGACCTTGCGCGTCTAGGGCACGGTACACCCCACCGGAAAATCCTATAAATTCTAGTATATTATTTGACATACATCCACTTCGTTTGGTCGCAACAGAATTTTTTCAATTCCCTCAAGTGATTTCATATGAGTGGATGGTCCGTCGTGTAGCTCGTTCAAGCTGAATTTAAAAACTTCTGTCGCGACCAAATTAAAGAGACGTATTTTATATGATTTTAGGCGTAGCTATGTTGAGTGTCACTATGCACACTGTTGCCTTTGTTGTGTTGCAATGTTCGTAAGTGACAGCCTGCAGCCACTCGGCTACGGGAGTAAGCGAGACGCGGCATAGCGGAGTTTGAACCAGCCCGCAATGGGCGAGTGCCGGTACTCATGTTGATGTCGTCAAGCTCTGCCTCTTGCCTCTGCATTCACCTTCAGTGAGGTTCATCGCCTGACTTTGGCAGCTGGTTAATCCTTCAAATTGCTTGATACTAACCAATATGATATCTAATGGCATAACATGCGAGGAACACTACCAACCACCTTGCCGCCCACCGGCTGTTCATAGCACGCACCGGAGTCGCTACGTACCCTTTCACAGACACTCATTGTACTAACCTTTGTCCAATTTTATGTTGCATCTCGCTCAGGACTGTGGAAAATTTGTGGCGCTCATTTCACACGACCCAATAACAGAGGTGCGTAGCTATTCGATGCTCCGTTTTACTCCCAATATTGATGTCGTATCCATGCCACATACTTCCGCTCGCCTCCTGCTTTACGAGACAAAATCTCTTAAATGATCTGGCAAGCATTCGAGACTCGTTTGATCAGGACAAGTATCATACGCGACGAAGGACATGCCCACGCACACCAGTGAGACGCGTTCAATGTGGTAAGGGTGTTCGCTTTGGTTCTCAGATATCATCCTGCTCACCGTCTGTCCCTCTCTTTTCCCAGTATCCTATCACGCTCCACCAATTATATCAGACTCTACACTCGCTCACACGAGCAGGATACGGTCCCACCTTAGGGGATGATGTGCCCATTGCCACTGGCGAAGCGCTTCGATCCCGGTGGAAGTGTTCGTCGACTTTCCGTCTGCGCTGCCGCTGCCTCAATATCCTCCCACATACTGTTCAGTATCTATGGTTCACAGTCGCACACATGACTGGGATATGCTCCCACCTTGGTCTGGTTCTGGACGTGCCCATGGCTATCGAAGTGCTTCGATTGAGCGGATGCGTTTGCTTTGATTCTTGTCACGCCACGTCTCGATCGCCTCTGAAAGACCTATACCCTTGTTAACTCTCATATTGGAGGATATACATCTTATTCTTCTTGCATGCGCCTCCATCTTCCCCGCCCACCAACGCAGCTATAAGCGTTCACTCGCCACGTATGGAAAATGTTTTCCCACGCCCATCGCCTGAAGTCGGTAGTGCCCTCATTTGTTGTGCAGGCGGTATGGCAGCCTATTCAGCAGCTGTACAAGGAAGCATTTCGCCGGTTTCTTCCACAATGAATTTTCTCACTTCACAGTGGACAAGTCCCGCTGTTTCTAGTCTTGTAGCTATAGGTGTACCTCGTGGATCCTACCTCGCGTAATTAGACGTGTTGCGAGAAGTGGCAGTGTTGTTGCGTAGGCGGTCGATCGAGGCTTGTTCAATCATGTTCGTTGGCCTTCCTCGTAAGGCGAGTAAAAGAATCAGTAGCACTCTTTTACGCCTGTCGGCAGTCCCTTCACCGATGATCTCTACTCGGGTGACGTGGTTTTACTCAGACCGCGAGTGTGGTCCGCTGTGCCGAACCCTCCTGCGCGGAAGGACACCTTGTTCAAACCCTCGTTATAGGCGTAGTGTTCACGGCTGCGGACCATCCTTTGGCCGCCCTACTATCACCAGTCTCGAAGATAGTGGGTCACATTCAATATAGGGAGGGCTTCCGTCTTGCAGGGCGATGGTGTCTCTGTGGTGCGCAGGGCCCGTCCAACCTGTCATCGTTCGGATTCGTGGTACATCTTCTCACTTACAACTACAGTCACTCATCTACAGAGGGTCCTGGAGTTCTATTCTCTCCAACCTTATAATTATGCACGTGTGCTCGGCATGGATCGCGCTCACTGCCGTCGACGTGGGTAGGCTATATATATTGGGTGCTCTCACGTCGACTACGGTTTGGCTCTTGGGTTGGCTCTTTACACTGATCCCACTCACTGCTCGACATTAAGAGACGGTTCTAGCTCAAGATCATCGTCGATCGTTTGGCTACTCATGCACTCAAAATTCGACATGGAGTACCACAGAGAAGCAGTTCCCAAGTCGGATTTGATCATTGTCGGGGGAGGTAAGACCACCGACTTCATTGAAGTAAATGGTATTCACAAACTAATTTCTATGTTGGTGATCTCTTGGGTATTGCAGGATTTGCCTCCGCACACGCCCTCGCTTCCTCAGGACATCGCAAGTATCCAGTCCATCAGGCTCGGTGAGAGGCGGGTTCTGCTTCATGCCTGACGGTGTTCGGGTTCTGCAGCAGTGGGGACTGTCGGACGGGCTGGAAAGACGGTCGTCGTTATCGCAGGCGACCGACTTCATCGATAGCAAGTGTCTATCAGACTTAAGATCTCACCATGTTCTACTCGTCTGAGAGAGATGTCTGAATTCGGCTTCTAGTGGAGACCGCCGAAAATATCGGACTGTTGAGCTGGAAAGAGCAGGTACTACATGAAGTAGGGGGCCCCCTTCTATTAATCCGCGTTTGTATCTCTCTTTCACCTCTATTTGCTCGTCTTGAAATAGCCGCTTAGGCGCCCGCTCGTTCTATTTTTGCAGCATCAAGGTTTCTATGAAATGTTGTATGATCTGGCTCGCTCCTGAAGCGTCGAAATCACATCTCATGCGAACGTCATCTCCGTCTCTCCTCCGCTCAACTATAAAGGCAAATACGCCCCATCATCGTCGTCTTTGACTGCAGGATATCATCCTTCTGGTCCTTCCGTGACACTGACTACTGGGGAGGTGTCCTAAGCCGATATCATCAAAGGCGCGGGGCGGGCAGCATCATGCGGGAGATCGTGGACGAGGACGCAGCCACCGAGCCAGCACCTTCATCGCAGACTAGCACCGTGTTTTATACGGGAACGACGCCGTGTGGAATTTTGCTCTATGGCAGGACGTAGTGCTGGATGATGAGGCGCCACAGGGATGGACTACAGTCATCTCTAAATATTCTGGATCGTTCCGCGTTTGAGCCACGGTCAGTTCTAGCCCGCTTTGTCCTCCGAAAGGCTCTAATATCCTGTTTAAACAGAATATGGGCGATACCGGAACGAATACCTACCGTCGTACGCATCAAATCTTCGAGAAAACCCACGCAGAATCATGGGTAGACGCCTCCGAACGCCTCAGGCTCATAGGCTCAGCCGCCCACCCTCTCACCGTTCGTATCTCCGCCTGTTTCATATCCCATTTAATCTGATAATCTTCTTCACGCCATTCGTCACCAGCCCAATGGTCTCACTCCTCTCGAAGACGCTCATGTCCTCGGGACCTCTTCTCACGCCTCTCCCACCCTCTACGCATATCAAGAACTCTGATAAGAGCGCGCTCTTTCTCTCCACTCACTCGAACTTCACACTCTGGCCGTACTGCGATTACTTCCTAGGCCAAAATGAGATGCGGGGAACAAAACATAAGAGTCTGCGAAGAAAGCCCATCAAGCAGCAAGATGCGAGAAATCGACCGAGAAAGGAGGTAGGTCAGGGAGGTGGGGATGGAGGGGATGGAGGGGATGCTGAGAACGATTTGACGCTAATGGGGTAGTTTCAGGAGATCTTTGAGGTGTGTGGCTACGATGCGCGGGATGCGGCGCAGGATTGGTGGGTACAGTGGGGCGTGCTTGGTGAGATAATGTTGGGTATGACGCAGGAGAATGGGTGACAGGCTGCTGAAAGTGGGCTCGGTACGATGTTTGCAGATTGGCATCGGATGGAGGGGGTGGTTGACGTGTGAGGTTTATTGTGCTTGTCGACTCGGATGGGTTCCTTCAAGCAACGAGTGTGTTGTGTGAGGCTTTGTCGCTTGAACTGAGGGTACCGTTACTATTTACTAGTCCACTTTTGAAGTATTCATTGAATTAATGACACTTCTTCTCTTTCCGCTCATTGTTCTCACCTTGAGGTTTGTTGACACAACGTGCACATATTTATGTGTTCCCTAACGAGATGGAGAAACACGCCACCTCGGCGGAACCGTGATGAGTTCGCCACACGTAGCCAAATCTTATTTTATCTCCAACATCCGATCGCCCACACGTTCCGCCTTCGGGTCAAGTAAGTACAGTTCTCCTTCACCACCGACTACATCAACAACGGTATTCCTTACCGTAGAGAGTTAATTTGAACAAGGCTGATGCAAAGGCGATATTTTTGTACCCTCATGTCCGCCCAAGCCTCTGCCATCTCTCTTCCGATCCAATACCAAGAGCGTTTGATGCAGGCTGCCATCGAAGGTCCGTCAGTGCGATGTACAAATCTCTTATGCATTCCAGCACTGATGGTCACTATACACGATTCCTCGATACTACCGCCTACAGATACATGGATAGTTTCCTTCCCGACTTAACATGTGTCTTTTCTTTGAGTCTCCCATAAGCTCGTGCGTGTGTCGACCACTGATCCCTGATACATGTTTCCCCTTTACATGTTTATCAGAGAAAGAATGATATTGCAGCCCATGCTCAAAGTTCCGTGTCGGTGCTGCTCTGTCAGCGGTCGATGGAAGCATCGTCAAGGGCGCCAATGTCGAGAATGCCTCTTACACTCAGTCCTTCATCTGAATACCCGTGGAGACCGTGTTTCTGAACTACAAAAATATATAAGAGGAACGATATGCGCCGAATGGACGGCGCTCGTTGAGGCTGTTTTACGTTGGATTTCATCCTTGCCATTTTTGAGCATGAGATCGCCTTGGCTGAACTCTGATGGTATCGTTCACTCACTCATTCATCGCCTTTGCCGTTACAAGGCATCTAACAGCTCATCCATCTTCCCCTTCCCGATAGCAGCGCCGAGTGGGTCTGGCGATGGTACTGGAGTTGTCGCAGCCATTGCAAAACAAAGGCTGGTTGCGCCACTCGACGAGATGGTGGTGGTACGGAGACAAGAGGGGTTTCGGCCAAGAGTTGGAAAGCGCTCCATTTCTTCTCAAGCGATCTGAGGAACAATCGTGTACTATCACGCCAAACTAGTCAAACGTCGCAGCGTAATTAACACTTAAGTTTAAGAAAGACGCACCTGACACGATCATATAAATTACTCGCCACCCACCGTTGAATGAGATATCCAGCCGTGTCCGTCTCCACGAACGTCTCATAATTGTATACATTCGGAATATCTAGCAGAGCCTCCCGTTCAACTGTCCCAAGAAGCAACACAAAAGCGAATGAGCTCACGGAGAACATTCACAGCCGACCGACAGCATCATAGTTTGTTAGATGGGTAGAGAACACGGTGGGGAACATAAAGATGCACTCTTCAATCTCCTCTGGTACTTCCGGAGACTCCACACTGGGTCGGGTTCAATGAATATCTTTGCTATTAGAGCACCATGTACAAGAGGCATCCAACTTGACTATATTCTAACTAACTCTCCAATTTTCTTCGTCCTTAGACCTCAAACCATGTGCCACGCTCCAATGCTTGCGTCGTGAAACACAGTCAGCTCAATATCTGGGACGATGTCAACCCCTGTGTCCATGTGCTCGCTCTCAGCGTGTACTGACCCGGTAGTGAGCTTCATTAGTATCACTGACAAACGACATGCGTACCGAGTCTAGCACGAAAGGTCTGAACCGCCGCTCTGAATGCAGGGTTAGAGGTGCGTAGTTTTCTGTATTGCGAAACCTCCGTACCCGTGCTACAAGGGTCGCTCTAGAAGCTAAGTCAGAAGACGAAGAGAAAGAGGATCCGAGAAACTACAAACCCATTCCGAACTCGCCTTGTTATCGCTCTGCCCCGATCGGTCTGCACAAGAACTTGTATATAGCCCCTCACTCGCGCTCCAAGGGATATCAACGCCTCAGCTGTGGCGAGTGCTTGAGCTGCAGGAGACGTGAGGAGGCTGATGACGAAGCTGAAGATGCTGCCCGTAGTTGAGAGTGTCGAGGTAGAAGTTTCTGAGCGTTCAGCAACGAGAGCAGATGGGTTTCTCGAACGAGCGCTTCGGCTACATCAGTGGCACTCGCGGGCGTGGGCCACACTGCTCGAAGAAGGACACCTGTGGTCACGGCCTTGGGTTCCTCCGTCGCGATTACACTTTTCTTCTGGACAGTGTGGCGATATATCTTTGGGGGGTGACGCTGGTCCTTGTATATATACCAAAGCGAGGCAGAGTACAAGCAAGCGGTTGCGCGAAGGCTTGTACTTTGAGTGCATTTGACGTCATTCCGATGGGCGACGATCGGGTGGACAAGTCTCTGAGGGCACGTTTCTTCTTGTTGAAGACTTGCTGAGGGCCATAAGGGTCTTGACGGCGTTGATCCCGAACGCGCTGGCGACCACAGCGTGTACGACGACGGATTGAGCAGCGTGAGGCCCGCAATCGGATCAGACGCACACAGAAGATATAAGATTATTGTGAAGTTTTGGTTCAAATGCAAAATGTATGGTTTGGGGTGAGCATCAGTTTGCATAAGGACCTGGTTTAAGGGCTCCTCAGTCCACGGTTCCACTCGGTACGCAGCTCTCTGCCTGAGTACGTACCTAAGGTGAACCTGCTCTACATTGCGGCCGTGAACATCCCAGTACCTCCTCAAGCACCGTCCGGTAGCGGGCACAGTCGATGGGCGGGTGCGAGTGTAACGGGAAACGGTGATGAAGCTGTATCAATGGATCTCGCTAGATCGTTTGACGTAGCGGAGCCTTTCAGACAATGTGGCGACGGGGCGAGAGCCAAGAGTGCGGTGTTTTGTCTATTCATTGAAGACGCAGAAAGCAACTTGTTCCTGGAAAAAGAGATGGATTAGATGGAGCCTCCGGCTGCGTTCTCACAACAAGAGAGACTCTGAACTGGAGAAAACCCGAAGTTGTAGATTCGACTAGCGAGATCGCTGAGGGTCTTGCAATATGAAGTTTGCTTGTGTTAGCGGCTTTATCTGCGAGACACGTCACAACGATTACGGAGAGAGGCTGAGTGAACTGACACTGCTCGAAACCAAGGGCAGGTTTGGACGGAATTTAACGGCAACGTGATACATAAGAAGAACGGGTCCGTCTCGATAGCGAGCACGCGGACATGCAGAGCTACGAATATAGGACGGTGAAGGAGGCGGGCATTCATAGAGTGAAAAGTGGGACGGAAACGATGAAAGGAATCAGCGAGACCCCCAAGTGCCCGGGCGCCCACGCTGTTGCCGCCATTCTTTATCCCAATATGGAAACCCTTGTTCGGTGTGGCGCACCTTTGTCTGCAAGCGAGTCTATATAAAAACACATTCAAGCAACGAGCACAGGACCATGAGCGGGGTCATACCAACCTGCGGTCGCGTGTTGGGTGTTGGGTGCCGATACGGTCGACTCGTCTCTCACCTAACCAGCACACTCCGTCAGACGGAAGACAAATGTCAGCAATAGAAACACTCACCGTACACCGCCAGTCTGAGTAGTCCTCCGTATAGTGCTTGTCCAGCATACCCCTATCGATGATTTTGCTCTCCTTCACCCACAGTTCCTCGTACGGATCCACTAACCGTCCAGCCCTTGTCCACATCAGGTTTCCTCGCCGCCTCCAACGACGCTTCGTAAACCTACTTCACCGCAGGATCTCTCACCATACTCTGCACACTATCACGCGATATCGCCAACACCCTTTCTTTCTTCACCGTAATGGAGTTCGCTTCGATCTCACCGCTGTTGATGAGCAAGCGCCACTCAGTCCGAGGGCTTCGTTCTGTTCCACGTCTTGTTCGTCGGATGAAGAGTGAGAGGAAGATGCGCTGTCGTCTGCGTTGGCGCGTTCGGGAGTCTGAACCAAGGTCCAAGTGACCTCGAAGCTCGATGGACGATGAAACATTGATATAATATAAACCTAGAGGAAGTATTCACTCCACTAAGTCTCGTAGAACCACGGAGCACGCATCAATCCGACATGTTCAAGGAAGCGACAATGCGGCGGCCAGATGATGACTAATCACTATGAGGTTGCACCTCCCACGCCTCCAGGCCCTGTCGAGGATTATAGTGTCGGAAGACAACGAAAGTTGTTTGGGAGGATATACAACGTCAGCGTACTGAAAGAGAGTTGAAAGGAGAATATGCATACCATACAAGTACCGAGATTGAAAAGACCTCACTCTCGATCGCCTCCCGCTCGATATATTCTCCTCCGACTCAGGAAGGGCTCTCTTCGAGTGATGCAGTCGGGTGTTTCTATTGTTCCATGCCCTGAAGCTGAGTCTTATATCAAGCGCGGGGCGTGGGGAAGCTAGAAAAAAATGTGTGTCCGCGCTGGATACGAAACATCAGCGTAGAAAAAGGAATACAAAGAAGCGGACGCACGGAGAGAACGTCTGGCAGGCGTTGCTGCCCGCTGCGATAGATTCTCCTCCGACCAAGAACGGACTCTCCAGCCTGGACAATGGCGCGCGCTAGATACACGTACACACTCCACTGAGGCAACCCGCGCTATTTCTGTGTGCCGACATGTCCGAATCGCGCCTAAGCCCGAGCCATATGATAGAGCTATGTGCCTTTGCCGTCCATAGTGAACAATTCCCGAGAAGAGTGAGGAGGAGGGAGGAGGAGGTGCCGATGCGAGTGGAATCGCAGCGGAAGAGGTGGACCGTGGTGAACAAGACGGTGGGAAACGTCGGGAAGTGCACACTTCCAGCCACTGGAGGCAGACCTCGTCATATCTAGAGATAATAACCTGAACATACCTAGAATATAATGATGAGAAATCCAACGCAAAGGCAGATACTGTACTGGAGACTTACTGTAATCAAAATCCTTGATAAATTCTCGACAGCGCCCACCGCCATGCCGGAGATATTTTACAGCGCTTTTCACCTCGATGCGGAATCGCGAGTTTCGCGATTTCGTGTTGCCACATGCTCGCCACAGACGTGTAAGCTGACCAACTGGGACCCCGAACCACCTGGTAAGATCCGGCACTTGCACATGCACAAGTTCGAGAGAATATGATTGAAAGGAGATGCACTAAATTGGCTGGATGAAGTATGTAACTCACCTCTCTACGGAATCTGCAGCCATCAGGCCCATATTCAGGAGGAATCATAACTAAAACATTGATGAGAGTTGTCTATTATGTGGTTGTTGACTTCCAACAGTGCTCCCTCCTAGATATTGTCTCTCAGTGATTGTCTGAACCACTAAGGTATAAGTATGGATGAGTTGCAAAATTTTCGGAAGCATAATAAAGGCATTTTGGCAAGAGGAACGACTTTCATGACACTGAGTTGCGGCTGGCCACAGCGATGCTACAAGTGGCGCGGATTTCTGCAACAGGGGTCCCTGCGCGGTGAGCTCCGGTCTGCTCCGAGAGCCGTGGCGAGACTGTGGCAACACGAAAATACGAAACGCGTTTTTCCGCATCGAGGTGAATGTCGCTGTAACAGTAAAGTTTCCAGAACGTTCAGCACAAGACTGACCAATATAAAGACAAAAAAGGCGACGATATCAGCGGGAATGTTTCGGGGAGTTTTTTTTCAATAAAGGCGTCTAAAATATCTTTGATAAATTCTCGGTGGGTTCGAGCGTTGTTACGGGGAATTTAATCCAGAAAACTTCTCGGTGGCATCAGGTTGGAGGTCAGGCCGTATTTCGCATTACCGCCGTTGATGCCCCTCTGGCTCTTTCGAAGATGATATTCCTAAAAAATTCAGACTATATGCGCCGCACATACCGCGGAATATATCTGAATTGTGTCGAGACGCTGCGACATCTCGACACAATGTGCTCCGACAGTAAGACGTCGGAACACAATAGTGTGGCGACTGTCGCCACATCTGCAAACCAGACATGTCACGCAGTCACGCTGATCCGCAGTGGGCCACTCCGCCGCCACTGTCTGGTTTCCCATCACCGCATCTTGCTTCAGCAACTCACCTCTTGTCCCCTTGCTTCAGTTGTCCACAAGCGCACTGACCAACGTAAATTTATGCATATCCTTGGCCATCGAGGTGATCGACTCATCAATCGTCACCGTCCACCGCCACGGCTTGAAATCGAACGAATACCAACGCGGCCGAGACTCGAATCCAGGTGATGCGCAGGTCTTGAAGCTAGGATGGGATCGGAGTTTTGAATGGACGGGGAGGATGTCAGGACGAAGAAACAAACTGGGTGAAGGACGAGAATTATAAATACCGGTGCGTATCCCATTTTTGCTCAACAGGCGCAAGGACTTCAATAAACTCAACGGGCCCGGGACGAATCCATATATACCGGTTGGGATAATGTTGGCGGACCGTTTGGTATTCCGCGTCTCGCAAAGTACAGCGGAGTAAGCTTATTTTCCCTATTATTCGAAGATCACTCATTGATATCACGGACTCATATCTGTCTTTATTTTATCCTCGATTCCCAGCAACCCTACGAACGCGCTCTCTTCCCCGTCCACCCCTGCATCAGGATCTGCAGATGCTCTCTGCGCATTCCAGTCGGAACTCTCCTACGCACGTTCGCCACACGATGTCGCTGCCGTCCTGCGCTGGGGTCTCCGCCACCTCTCCGACCACACCCACCTTTGCTAACCTAGCAGACGACATTATGTCCTCCGCGTCTTCCGCCGTCGGTTCTATCGACGACTTCATGGCCCAGCACCAGCAGAAACAGCGAGAAGAGTCTTCAGCGACTCAGTCTATGGACGGGAACACCCTCGACCCGTCTAACCCTCTCAACTTCCTCCTCCGATCCGTCGGCACATTTTCTAACACCGATTCATCGACTTCATCGGTTGGTGGAGAAGACTCATCATCATCGTTTGGCGGTGCGAGCCCCGCACCCCACTGGTCACAGTTCACGAACCTATGGCCACAAGATCCCTCAGCTCCCTCTGCCGGCGTCTCAGACTTGAAGTTCGACCCTTCATCTATGGACTTTGACTTTTCTCTGCCTATGGAACTTGACTTCAACCCCGCCATGGCCATTGAGCCTTCTGCGCTTCACTTCGACACCACAAATATATTACCGTCGAGTGACTCTACCACGAATATCTTCTCTCCACATCATATTCCACGGCACTCGCAGTCTTCGGGTGACGACCTGAGCAGCATGCCCTTCTCCGAAGACATGATGTTCACGCAGTTTATGGACGGAATGCTTCACCCGTCATCTGCTAATACACATCCACTCGGAGAGAGGCGCATGAGCATCACTTCCTCCTCATCGAGCTCCGGCGCTTCGCTCTCTCCCACATTGGACCACAGCGCTGCCGTCCAGCCGAGCTCCAATACCAATAACTCAATGGCGGACTCTCCACCGCAAAACGACCCCCTCAGTGAAGTGTTCGATGCGATGATGAATTCGGCAGTGGGCGAGGAACAGTTGGAGCAGAAGGTCGATGGGACACTCGACCCTGCGGACGAGTTGGCGCAGAGAGTTAGGCAGACCGCTGGTGTTACGCTTGCTGTCCCTGTCGCAGGACAGGGCCAATCCGTCCAGTCGTTCGGAGGTATGTTTTGATTTATGCACAGTATCTCAGCCTCTACTCATTGGCCTCTTACAATACTCGACCTTCCTCAACCAAACTAACTTATAAACACCAAACCCGTAGGCTCGACTTCCCCCAAACTCCCCATCCCTCGAAACCCCTCAAACACAACCCTTCAAACAATCTACCCCAACCTCCCACCTCCACCTCCAACACATCCTCCATCAGCGGCTCCTCGTCCCCACCCACCTCAGCCAACACCTTTCCTTCTGCGGCCTCCTCACCAAACTCCACGTCAAACCTCGTCTCTCTTCCCCCTTCTGATCCCTCTTCCGCTAACGCCACTCTCGCTCCCGCGTCTACTTTGTCCGGTACAAGCGCTACTGCCAGTGCGGCTGCACCGGGCACGACGACGGTCATAGGTGGCCGTCCGAAAACGAGCCATACAACCATCGAACGTCGATATCGCACTAATCTTAATACACGGATTATATCGCTGAAGAACGCCGTGCCCGCGCTGAGAGTTCTGGATCAGAAGAAGAATAAGGACAAGTCCTCGGATCTTATTGAGGATGGGCTGGAGGGTGGCGAGGAGGTGAAGGAGAAGGATGTGGTGGATGAGAGGGGCATCGTGGATGGTGTGAAGGTCGCGAGGAAGATCAGTAAGGCGAATGTCCTGGGGAAGGCGACGGAGTATATTCGGTGCGTCTTTTCCTCCCATTTTCCAGCAAAATATTTGGGAGATGTGTATCCTGTATACTGACTTGGTTGTCTGCTCGTTCATTCGATGTAGTGTCTTGAAACGTCGCGAGCAACGTCTCAAGCATGAACAACAAGGTCTCCACTCGCTCATCTCCGGACTCGTCGGAGGTCCCGCTCTCCTGAAGGAATGGGAGCGCGAATGGACCGCCAAGTTCGCCGGACCGGAGCGCGACGAGCTCGAATACGAGAACGCGAACGGACGTGGAGGTATGAGCGACGATGACGATGCTGGGGACAGCGATGATGGGGATGAAGAAGAGACAACGAGGGCGAGGAAGAAGCCGAAAGTCGTGAAGGAGAAGAAAGAGACTGTAAAGAAGGAGAAAGTCGGGAAGGATAAGGTACCGACGACGTCGGCGGCGACAGGAACGGGACAGCCGGAGAAGAGGAAGAGGGGGAGGCCGAAGAAGAATGTGGCGCCGGCAGTGGTGCAGAGCGAGTCGTTCGTGGCTCAGCAGCAACAGCAGATCATGTTTGAAAGTGGGACGGGGAACGTCGTCGTACCGCCTCAGGCCCAAGCACCGCAACAACCTCAACAACCACAATACCTCCTCGCCGTCTTTGCGTTCTTCTCGTTCTTCAGCTCTCCCCTCACTTCGTCGACCTCATTCGCCTCGACACATCACACGCATTCTGGCGTAGTTCTCAACTCGCCGTTCCCTGCGTCAGCCGTACACATCCCTTCTCCGTCCTCGCCGACAGGGTCAGGCCTTGGATTCGGATGGCAAGAATTCGTCCAGGTCTTCCATCTCCTTGTCTCCGCCCTCTTCTTTTTCTCTATCGTCTTGCCCTGGCTGCCCAGCTCAATCCGGCGCTTCACCAAATTCTTACCATTCGGACCCGTTATCCATCAAGGCAATGCGGACGCCACACTTCCCACGCCACCTCCCTCTCCCACCTCCTCCACCTCCTCCGTATCGGAGTCAGAGTCAACGTCCAAAGCAGTGAAACGTCCCCGCTCCCTCTCCTTCCCTGGTACCGACACTTTCAACCGCATCGCGTTCATCGATGCTCTCTCGCTCTCTTCTCGCGCTTCTCCTACAGCAGCTGACGAAGCTGCCCGTCTGCGCGAGGCTCTTGGTATCAAGGAAGGCGTTCTAGGCTTTGTGGGCGCGTTGGGCGGGGGTGCGATAGGAAAGATTGTTCGTGCGGTGAGTGGTGGGGGTTTGAGTGGTAAGACGGGTAAGGGGAGGGGCATCGAGAGGATGCAGTTGGAGCAGAGGGCGTGGGTTCGGTTGGGCGAGTCGGTCGCGCTGGAACGTGAGTCTACTTCGTCTTCACTTTCTTTCATCGCCCTTACGAGGTTTCGATACTGATGATTGATGATTGGATATCGAAAATAGCCAATACGCCATTCGCCACCTGTCTCCTCACCTACTACGGCATGACGACTCACACCTCCGCCTTCGCCGCTTCGACAAACGATCTCATCACACTCGCCCTCATCGCCTACCCGCTCTCCAAATCTCGAGCTCACAGCCTGTGGAACAAAGCTTCTTCCCGTGCGAAAGCGAAGACTATCGTTGCTACTGCTGCTACTAGCATAAGAGCTTATGAGAGGTTAGTCGTGGGGAGCATGGGGGTCGAGGAGGCGAGGGAGAGGATCGCCGGGCTGAGGGTCGGACCTGCGACCTCGAACTCGAGTGTGTCGAAGGATATGGATAAGGACAGGATGAAGCTGGACAACGAGTTCGACGCTGTTCTCGGTGCGGACCGTGAGGCAAAGACGAGAAGGTCGCGGGTAATGGTAACAGCAATGGAGCCAGCTGGCTACGGCCACGGCTGACAGTGACGCTCATACGCTTACTGCGACGTTTGCTGGTAGGGTACTTATATGTGTTCTCGGCACTCCTGTAGATTAAACCAACATAAATTGGCTCAGAAATTTGGCATGAGTATGAGATCGCAAAGGTGTAGATTTGTCTTAGCATAGGTCATGCCTGTACTTGGGGGTGATATACATGAGGATTTCGAAAACAGGCCCCATGGGAAAGGGCCGGAGAGAACAGCGTCACAAAAACACGGCAGTGTCGACCAGAGCAAAGGAATTTGACATGAGACGAAACAACGTAACGAGGACACCAAACGAGACCAGCAAGCAAAGGAATACGTAGCGGCACGCCTGTTGGTGGTACGAATTACTATCGACCATCCCGGTAGAAAGCACCCTGCAATCTCTCTTTGGTCCATATAAACATTGAGACAATGCAAAACAAAAGTTATATGCGTACCATTCTATAATCCACGGAGGATCGACTTCACGACACTCCATCCTCCTCGCACACTCCCACTGATCCGAGCTCGACACCGCCGCAGGTTCTCCCTCCTAGCTGCCTGCCTCTGCAGCTTCTCCGACTTCGCTATCTGACGCCTAGCTTCGGCCTCCTGCAAGTGCCTGGGGTAGCCGACGACAGGTCTGTTTGGGCGGCCCATGATTCGTGAGCGGTGAGTGATGATTGTTTTAGTAACGGAGGGTGGAAGGAGTGAAATTAGGGCTAGCGCGTGAGGGTGAGGATTTTGCTGCGACGATTGGTGTAGCTGATCCGCTGGTGAAAGATAGGCAAGCTGGTAGGTGATGTGTATGATGGTGAGTTGGTGGTTGGGTACGGGTCTCGCTGAGCTATTAGGGCGTATACCTGGGTGTTCGCCCTAATTGGGAATACTCGCGCGAGTTCGATGCCGACGTCCCCACCATACGCAATGGCCACGGGCTCGACCACATTTGACCTGTTAGAGTGAAGACATGTTGCCATAGTCGACTATGTACACAATGCCGGTGTGTGCTCGCACTTGAACGTGGATGTTTGTGTCTTGCTAACGATGGGTGATTGGCCCCTCGTTTACACTGGCAAACACTTCGAGGGCGGAACAGGGCATCGTGCGTGCTGACCGTCTTCACAGCCCGATCTTTAGGAGATGTCCTCAACGTTAGTACCGTGAATGTCGTTCATGACATCTGCGTAAAATTTGATCAATCCTCATATATTCTGCACGCGTCTTCCAAATCGTTGAGATGGAATTATGTTCTTCCTATCCCTTCTAGACGACTCGTCTGCGCGCCGTTTCCGTGTCATCTCACGGTAAACGGAAGAAACCAGATCGATGCACATCATACTCTCTGCCCTGGTGCGAGCTTAGACAAGTGAGTATATTCAACTAGTGCAAATGTGAGAGGGGCACTGATACAAACTAATGAATCAGACACTTCTACTGTACCTCCGGGGTACAGCAACTGCCTATGCAGAGTACGCAGACCGCTGTACGATGAGACAACCCTGCCACGAAAGCGGCGTACTAACACGGTCACCAAAGAAGTTGATCCTTCTAGTCTAAGAGGCGCATCAAGCATGATGATCGCGCGCCGTCGCTAAACATGGCACTTTCCTCTCCCATGTGCGAAACTGCTGATACCGCTCAGATAACGAGCATGTTTTTGAGTAGAATCTGATACTGGAGGTGGCATTTCGTTCGCAGACCCAAGAGGTAGGCCCGATTGTCTAGCGCGTCCTATCCATGACATGAACCTGTTGTCAGCAGCAGATACCAGTATTCGCCGACTTTTGCCACCAGTACGAACTCCCGATGCTCGAGCGAGAGTACTCTCTGGACCAACTCCGAAGTGTATTCCCGCTACAAGAAACACAGAAACACGGGTATGTGTTGCTGAACCGACGTATGGTGTCAGCCACCGCCACAACGACAAGCAACCGGCTATTTTGCCAGAATTATAGGCTGCTGGCGCAGCACTGCGGTCATTCCAGCTACGCTTGGAGACCTGTCTTGGCTGAGATCCTTACTAAATAGGGTCGGGCATCTAAAAACGCACGCCTAAACCTAGGAGATGCACGCTCCGACAAGCTGCGCTCGCAGACGTAGTCGAGAATGCTATGCTGAATGACCTATTACACGACCGGAGACTTCAACAGGGTAACATTATTCGTTATAGCAATGGACTGAGCAGAGAAGCCCGTACTCCACTCGGGGCTGTCTCCGGCCATTCCGGCGGGCTACCTTATACTGGGCCACGGTGCTGTTTTATGTGCCCAGGACATTGGCCTCAATGTGACCTCGATGCTGTAGTCTGTGATTGCATCTGATGGCTATTATATGACCATTGGGTGACTTTCCGTAGCACTCTAGGAGCCTTTCCTGATGCACAGAAACACAAAAACAAGGCTCTCATCCAATCATAAATCGACGCGGGCCTCCGTTCTGTGCATCTAGGCCTCTAGGAGCTTCGTTAACTCCCTACGGAAAGTCGCCCATTGACCCTCTGAAACCACTCATACAATGTCTTGAGGGATGGCTCAGCTGGTGGCGAACAAGACGCATAATAGCTCCTCCGATCCTCTTCGCTCAGATGCACGTCGCCCGCGAACGTAGAGAATGTTGGATATGATGCATGCAACCCATCATGAGAGCCAGTTGCGTCCGAAAACTCCACCAGACCCATTACAAGAAAAAGTGAGTTGTTGGAAATCTCGGTTCCTAGCACGCATTGGGTGCCGCAGTCACGTGCACTGGATGCGTGCGGGTGAAACATCCTCTGCTAGTCCAAGAAAGATATGCCTCGAAGAAAAGGTGAATGGCATGCTGGCGGTGGAGCTGGAAATCATCGTGACAATGGTGAAGACACTAGATGTTATCTACTGTCTGAGTTTCGAAGGACTTGGGCTATTAGTGGCTCGTTTATGAGTGGGGCTCCGCTCAGACTTCATGTCGCAGATAACATCTAACGACGATCCCAAGAAAGGAGACCAAGCTTGCATGATTTTGGCTGTCATGACAATCAAACCCACGATAATTGGGAAATAGACATCGAACCTAACGAGTTAGAAGGCCATTTAGAGCAAACGTACATGAAAAATGAAGCATCGGGCTCGATGTCGTACAAAAGGGGACACAGGCTACAGGGGCCACTATAAGCACCTCCAGATCGGAGCAAACTGAGCAAGAAAGACGTACTCAGGAGTGTAGGGCATGCAGCCATAGCTGGTCGACCTGATGTTGCGGCGCTACAGAGGCCGGAGGAATAATTTAGTATCGAGATATTGAGCATGACTCGTCACACGCACCAGACTATGCAGATTTCAGTCTCGAAAAGACGCCCAGTAACAAGAGCCTAACTTCGCAGAAGGGACTCCGTGAGCTGCTGATGATCATGGCTTCTTCACCAAGAGATACGTGCAGTGCATAGATGTCCTGACGTAGGACTGTATGCCGCGATAATGGTTGGCCAGTTCTGAGGGTCTGACGCCCGCCGAGTAAAGCCGTCAGCAAAGCTAAGAACTGGCTCTGTCTCTGCACGGGAGAAGACTGCTCCATGACGGTGGGGGCATGTGTAGTTGAAGTTCGAGAGATTCCATCTGGTATCACAAAAAGATCGGAATTTTGAAGCTCATGTAGAGCATACGTTGCGGTTGGCGCATGAAGGATAGTTGGTAGAGTGTTAAGATTCAGGAGGTCATCTCTACGAGTCTTAGAAAAAGCACGAGTAGTGAGGCACTCGAGCTCGTTAGGAAGGCAAGCATCGTTGTTGACGTTGAGATAAGTCAGCAGCCCTAACCTAGGTCCGATCCTGCCCGATCCGATGTCTTATTTCAATATCCTGCCAATATCCTAGACCAAGCGGCCCGCTCAAGACCGGCTTGGAGCTGACTTGTGCGAGATTAGGGCTTATATGTTAATAAAAACTTGGAACTTTTTGCGAAAGCTCATTGGCGGATCGGACAGATCTTCCGCCAACGAGTTCCAAGTAAACTTGAAACATATAAGGTCTATTGTACATTTTTCACGTCAGATGGCTGCTTCGAGTTATCACCGTGTTTACCCGCCCTTACCAGATGCCCCTCTCCCATCTTTTCCGTTTGCATATCATCATATGGATTCCCCGTCTACAATCACAGATACAAATTTATCACAACTTTTCACCAAGACGAGCCCATATAAACTCATGACTTCCGGATATACATAGACGAATGCCATGAACATGCCTTTTCGATCTTTGTGTGGGCAGTTTTCAGTTACTACCAGTTGTTTTATGTTTTTTTGGTACCCGATATATACAGTGTTGAAAATGGAGCTCACAGATTCAGAACACACGAGTGGGCACCAAGAGAGATGCATTCACAGATGGTAGCCTATCACGATTCAGGTGGAGACAACCCGCCACGAGCTTGTCTGGCTCAAGCAGTTCATCTACATTTGTCCCACTTGAACGAAGCATTGTGGTGCGGGTCTATAGGTGATATAAATCGTGTGCGGTCCTATGGAGCACTTTCGGTGGCCAGAGGTAGTCAGCAGTCGGACAGCCTCGAATAATGTATGGACTGATACGCGATCTGGGCCCGCTGCATGGAGGAGTATTCTCCGAAAGACAAGGACACAGTGAATGAACATGAGGACGGTGTCCAGCTAGACTACATGAAGCGCTCACCACGTTCAATGAGGGTGGACTCCAAAAGTGGTATATCTTTAACTGATGGCTCAACAGCAAACAACGAACACGGATGTGGGTATCGGAGCGGTCAGGTCCAACCGATGTTCGGGGTTTGGGGGGTGGTACTGGCGAGGATCGAGTAAATGAATGGGCTGATTCGGTGGTTGCAAGACGAAGGATGAGTCGCCAGAGGTGTCGAGAACCGATGCAGTGCGTCACAAAGAGTGGGATCCGATAATGAATGACCGCAGAAATAGTCTATGGTTCACGCAAACAAACAGCTTACCATATGGGCTATAAGCTATCAGCAGTACAAAAGCACTCTGCCTCGGACTTCGACTCGGATGCCCCGAGTGTCCTGTTGTATTGGGGTCGCCAAGCACAGGGTAAGGCGGCCAAGGAATTCAACTACGCACCCACAGGCTAATCACGAGCTCTTTCTCTGCGCCCGAGAGGTTACAGTAGACGTTATCTGCAGCCTGAAAAGTAGACTTTTGAGTTGCAAGGCGACGCAAGCGAACTGTAAAAGTGAGAATTTTAACTAAAATTTCAGTTCGAAGGGGAAAGTGCAGGCCGGCCGTGATTGGCTGATCGACTCCATTTGGCCTGAGTCTGGCACTTACCGAGGGTCCGAAGCGAACTATGAAATAAAAATTGAAGTTTACGAGCTCTCAAGCAGCCAATTTGAAGCTCATAGAACCTCTCGGTTTTCAGGCTGCAGATAACATCTAGTGTCCGACTCCCGAAGCTGGCGTTGGGCGTGGCCGATACTCTGCGTTCATAAATTTAGACATAAGAAGTCTACCGAGACTCGAGAGGTCACCTCTGAGAATCGTAGCCGGGGAAGAAGATGATCCAAAAGTCCACCAAAGCATAGCAAGTGCAGGAGCAGAAGCCGAAAGAGAACCGGTATAGATGTTATCTGCAGCCTGAAAAGTGGGCTTTTGGGTTGCAAGGTGATGCGAACGAAATGTAAAAGCGAGAATTTCAAGTGAATTTTCATTTTGAAGGGGAATATGTAGGCCGGCCGTGATTGGCTGATCACCCTCCTTTGGCCTGCGTCTGGCACTTACCGAGGGTTGAAAGCGAAATATTACTTGAAAATTGAAGTTTGCGACCTGCAAAGTAGCCGATCTGAAGCTCACAGAACCTCCCGTTTTTCAGGCTGCAGATAACATCTTATGTCGAAGACAGAATGTTGAGCAATGTCAACTTTGTCGAGATGCGACGTCTAGAGATCTCTAGAGATTCGACGATGTGTCACAGTTGGTCACAATCACGTTTGAAAACATTTTGGGCCGCCACAACGCCACAGGGCGAACACTCGAGCGGAAAATACACCAAGACATATTACATTGCATACTCGCTGCCACACCATGTTAACACGAGTACATACAAGAAGAAACTTGTCAGAAAGTAGGGGAACCTTACTAGTGAGCATAACGAAACTAAACTAAAGCTCCAGGCTGAGGCAATATAACAAGACCGCGAGCGAGATTCACTGTGGTACGGAAATACATTCGCACTAGAAGACCGTACATAGTCGAGGCCACACTACACGAGGATGAGCATATACAAGGAACTGCGTCTCAGAAAGTAAGAGGATTGTGAGCATGGCGGAGCGCGTGGCGGAAGACGAGGGGAAAGCCAGGATGCAGGGGCCCGTGAATGAAGGAAAGGAGCTGAAGGCGTAAAAGAAATGGCATACAGTGCGAACGGATTGCTGGGGGTTTCTTTTGGAACCGTTGGAAGATCCGGCTTCCAGGTGACTCCTGCAGATGACCCGTGAGCGAGGGGTGTTTGAGCCATTGCGTAGACAGACGTACCTCCAGGATATCCTGCTTCATCGAAAGAACGGTTCTCCATCTCTCCGTATCCGACGGAGATCTGGCTCGGCCTTATCTATACCCCAATCTCCACGACGAAAACGAGACATTTCGTGTCTGTGCAATGACGCCTCGAATACCGTCGCTCCGACATGCCACAGATGAAAATCCCGTGCCTAATGAAGACAACACCGGTGTAAGCTCACGGCGCACTTGAAAGCCTCCCCGAAGGGTTGTACATACAACATCCTATAACGACGGAGAGAAGGGGAACGAGAAAGAGACATACCCCGCGTGTCGCTCACACTTTTTTCTTCCCTCGACACCACCACTCTCCATAAACGACACCCCCTCCTCCCCTCCCTCCCCTCTCTCGGCGTCCCCGTCCCATTTCCAGTCGCACCCTCACCCCCCTCCCTCGGCCCCTCCTCCTCATAACTCTCCAACACCTCCGCGCCATACTCCTTTACCTCCTCATCAAGACGCATTTTCTGATCCCACCCACACTCATCGAACCCTGGCGCTTCAGACCGCTGCACGATCCGCTTCGTGAGCTGTTCGCGCTGGAGGAGTATCTTATCGAGCAGGGTATGAGTCGGGCGAGCTCCCGGTACGATTTAGCTTTTGGGTTCCATATTTAGTTGGTTGGCAGGAGGGTGCGGGAGCGGGAGTGGCGTTTGTGGAGGTGGATGAGGGGAGATGACTGTTGGGAGTGGGAAGGGAATCCATCCCATTCACGAGATTGCCTGAATGTGGTTCATCCACATCCATTTTCTCCTCTTTGACATTAGTAGGACCGGGACCAGGACCAACAATCTCAACAACGACCCCCTCCCTCCTCTCCACCCCCTTCACACTCTCCCAAAGCCTCTCCATCACCTTCTTCCCCGTCACACCATCCTTGTCCTTCCCACCATAACCAGCATCACCGCCCACGCCCGACGCAGCCCACTTCTGTGTCCTTATCGGCATGCACTTGATCCCGCACTCGTCCGAGCAGTACTTCGATAGTGCACCCCGGGCTGGCTTATGGCACGAAGATGGCGAATCCGGATCTTTTGACGTGAGACCAAAGTGGCAGCGGGGTTTGTAGGTCGTTTGGAGTGTGAGGTAGGGATTCTCTGTGGGTACACGGGGTGTCGTGAGTATATGAGACACGGGGGTACAAGGATACGAGTACATAAGGGAAAGAGGAGGAGACTGAAGGGAATGGAGGTGGAGTGAGGATAAAAGACGTACTCTCAACTCAAGGCGGACATATAAACTGGTCCACGAGATCGACCTCCAGATCCGGCATCCCGACACACTGCGTATGATACCACTCGTCGCACCTGTGAGCCACCCGTCAACCCACACACCTTGAACGCCACCAAAAGAGATCAAGCATAGAATCAAAGTCAGTCCGCTGTTTGTATGATAAGAAAAGGACAAGACGGGACGAGAAGACGAGAAGAAATAGAACAAGGACGGCCGTCATCCGCCGTATATGCTGGGGTCAAAGCGAGTTCGCATGTACCACAGCTTCGACCCCCTCGAGGACAAAAAAACAAAAACAAGAAAAAGAGCAACAACGAGAGGAAGCGAAAAAAGACGCATTCATCGCAGGCGATCATCGTCTTTTCATCATCATCATACGTCGTCTTACACACACGATACAACTTCTCCTCCTCTTCTGCCTCAGCACCTGCCGCCACCCCAACACTCGCACCTCCCGTGCCAATCCGTAGGGACGACGCTCGTCGACCTCGACCTCCCCGCGCCCGACTCCCCGCGCCCGATTTCTTCCCCGTAGCGGTGCCTGTACTGGACACAGGCGTAGCGAACAGCGAATTCGATATCGAGGCCGTTTTCTTCCCTCCGGATGCTTTCGCCCTCGGTTTCGGCTTCGATACGGACACGGAGAGAGAAGAGTCAGAAGTAGGAGTGAGGTGCGCCGGAGCTGAAACGGTGGAGTAGGGATTTGGGGAGCACAGAGAGGTGTGGCGAGGGTGGCGAAGGCTGAGGAGGAGCTCAGGGTTAAGGTTGACTAAGCAGAGGGGTACCGTTCCATCGTGCACGGATAGGTCGGTAGGCATTCACGCATCCGACCATCTGCGCATCCAGCTTGAGGCTAGTGCAACGGATGTGGACACGTTGGTGTGTGGATGGGATTGGGGGGCGTCCAGAGCGGTTGACGAGGGCGTTCCGGATTTAGAGGATTTGGCTGATTTGGGGTGGGCTGGTTTTTAGGTCTTCGGTTTCGGTGCTGCTTGTGATGACAACGTCAATATCAATATCAATGCATTTCTTATACCATACAATTTCAACCGTAAAAAACACTCGAGCTCAAGCGGATCTAGATTATTCGAAACGAACCAAAAACTCACTTTCTTCCTCGACCCCGCCGTCGCACTCCCTACGACCACCGCCCTCTCCTTCTCCTTTTCCTCACCCATCCCGCCCGCACCCGAACCGTCCACATCCCGTCCAGGCGGCCGAATCGCAGGCGAGGGCATCGATTCTCTCTCGCTCTTGACCACGCCAGGACCCGCGAGGGCGGACACGGATCGCGGAGTTGCTGGAAGAGGAAGAGGGTGGGAGGATGTGTATGTTGGTCCTGTTGTTGTTGCGTATGAGGATGTCGAGGTTGAGGGCGGCATTTGTGGATGTGGGGATTGTGAAGGATGTAAAGACGAGCTAGGGCTGAAGGCGGGGGCGGGGTTGAATGAAGAAAGAGGGTTGGAGGAAGGCTGTCCTGGACCGATGAGGCTTTCGCGCTTGATCGTGGTATATAGTAACGTCGAAAACAGAGGACGCATAATTCGAATTGAAATTGGGGTTGGAGTTGAAGTTCGAATTGAAATTGTCATTGTGATTGGAAGAGGAAGAAGACGCGACCGTCGTCGTCGGAGGCACGCGTTTTGCTGCCGGTGTCGTCAACAAAGGAGCAGACACGGACGCGATCATGTCGACGATGACGATGCCTGCGAATGTGGATGCCAATGATCGTGGTCGTGGTCCCCGATAAGACTCAACAGCTCATCGTCCGCATCCACGTCCATCTTCGCGGCCTGTCCATGTGCATGGTTGCTCCCTCTCCCGCCTTCACCTTCACCAATCCCCCCCTCTCCTTCTCTATCCTGCCCTCGCTCGGCCCACGTCCATGTCCATGCACAGGCGAATTACTCGCCAAACTCTGACTCTCCTCCACCGCCAAATCCAACTCCCTCGCGATCTCACTATCCACATCCACATCCATATCCACATCCATTCTTACATCCTCCCTCTCGCCACCGCCGCCCCCGCCACTACCTTCCTGCACGACGACGACCCCAGCCGCCTCCTCCAACTCCCTCTCCAACGCTTCTTCCGCCTCCATTTCAGCCTTCACCTCATTCTCACCAACGCCTGACACGTCTCTCCCACTCACGCCAGGTCAGATCGACATCCCAACTTCCACAGGCGAAGGCGAAAGCGTAGGTCTAGCGGTTCCACCCACCGATGGTTGAGGCTCGTCCGCATCCGCATGATGCTCCAAGAACCACTCATGCGCATCGTCTTCCTCTTCCCGTCCCTGCCCTTCTCGCGTTTTCGAATTCGAACTCGACACCGGCCGTTCGTGTTCTTGTCTCGATTTCTGTTTTGTGGGACGTGGCGGGGGAGGAGGCGGAGGAGGCGGAGGAAACTGTAATCCATGCATGATAGAGTCTCGAGAGCGTGGTTTAGTAGCGGTGGTCGACTGCGCGGACTGGTGGTGCTGCTCATCTCCAGACGTCGGTTTTTTTTACCTTATCCCTCCCATCCTTCACATCTTTGTGTTTTTCTTTTGATTTACCCGCTCTAGACGACCCGGCCGCCGCCTTCGCCCCCAACTTCGATTTCGACGGCGGCGGCGGTGGTTGGGGCGGCTTGACGTCCGCGCTCAGAGACGATATGACACGAGAGGGAGGATAGAGAGTGTGGATAGCGGCAAGGCCAGATGGACAGAGCCAAATACTCGAAACGAAGGGCCGCGTATTGAGCAGCGACCACAAGACGGTGAGGCAACAAGATCGACGTGAGTAGAGCAGGATACCACGGAGATCGACGTAGTAGCAAAAGCATGGGGCCGGTAGACGAGGGAACGAGGTCCCGGAAAAAGATATGGATATAAGAGGTAATGTGGCGAGTGTGGCGGCGTTCCACTGAGTAGACTCCTTGCCAGCCTGCACCGTGGCCAGACGGTTAAACAGCGAATACCGGCATTGACACTCGATTGTCGCGGAGACACAGTGCGAAACGCATAGTTAGCATGACGACAACTAGTACTGGTGTTCTGAGTAGGCGCAAGGGCAACGAAAGGTTCATCGAAGAGGTGGGTTTCATCTACGGTTCTAGGATCGCCGACTCGGGCATCCAAAGCGGTCTTCAGCATGTATCGTTCGACGGCGACGGCGATGTCTAGGCCATGGTCATGGTTGCTGTCATCCGCAGATTCGACTAGGCTTGTGAGTATGCGGGGCGGCATCGGAGTCGCTGACGGGAGGACGAAGGGGCTTAGTGTCTGACGTAGTTAATATTCGTGAGTAATGGACACTCGAAAGAAAAGGTACTACGAGGAAAGGACCAACGTTGGAGAGCTTCAGCACACACAGCGTCAAGATATGGAGGACCATCCGATGTAGACCTCCATCCCCGAGTTGAGCTTCAATACTCTCTTGATTTCGCGATGGAATCAGTGCATCCGTCGCGTACGAACGAGGGAGGTCGTCCAGGGCAGTAAATGTGAGGGTGCTATAGGATTAACATATTATCACGTACGGAGATTAGTATCGGTTCGAGCACGAATGTACGACGAGTAATCAAAGACATTGTCCGACCTTATTCGGTCAAACCAGCTCTGCATCAGTCGAGCGCAGATTCCGTATGTTGGCCATCACTGCAATAGCATCACTGTTAATGCCCCGTACGTGCCGTCCAGAGCAACGGAGACAAACTCACAAGTAAGACTCGTCACGACCTTGAGCTCATCCGTACAAGCGTCACTGTTAGACTCCGACGTAACCTTTGAGACAGCGGCCTTCTTCCTCGAAGATCTCAAGCACCTTCGAGTACATTACGTCGACCACCGGATCCGTTTTAGATTTCTAGACGGAGGGCAACAGTGGCGTCGTGACCACAACCTGCTGGAAGGAGTTCGTACCGAGCTTCTGGAAGATTGGAACAAAGGGGGTGCATATGCTGGTTTCGGCGAGCGTCGGTCTGCAATGGAATCGACGAGAGCAGAGAATTGAGATGGCATAAAATTGACAGAAAGTCATGAGGGAGCGTACATAACACGTTTCACAGATACACTGTGTTACGAGGAGGGCTTTTAACCGTTCCAAACGCCTGGAAGACGGTAAGGAGGTCTCTAATGTGGCGTGTGGCCAAGAACGGTTTGTTCGACTTGCGGGGCTTGTGGTGGACATTGCCTGCAAGGGACTCAGTACAGTTGCTAGCAGATCACGACGAGGGGAGAGAACCTACCAGTCTTAGCAAAGAGGCCCGTCCCGAAGATAGTACGCCCGAAACCTAGAAATGCACTTACGACGCAGGGATGGGTCATCAGAACTTGAGCAGTCGGTCAGAACCTAGAAGTAGACGTACTTTGTCCCAGGTGAGGTGTCCGGTTCAAAAATGTGGCACGCGCCACCCTCTCGATAGATCTTCCACTACCGGCCGCTGCTGTAAAGATTCGTCATGTGGTTCATCGTCCCCACAACTAGCTTGTTAGTTTCCGATACGGCCCTGCGGAAGATACGTAGGCTGGGTGGGCAATTGAGTCCCCACGTATACATTGCCGGAAGCGAGTTTCCGACTGATGTTGGAGCAGATGGCACTCGGGACGGCAAAGAGCGGTCCATTGACGAGAGCTTGGCCTCTAGACATGTCAATGATTTGAAATATCCTAGTGGACGGGAGCGATTGACGTGTAGTCCCAGTGAGTTAGGCTCGAAGTGGAAGCTAGAACAAGGGGCTGTACAAAAAAGTATCAAAAACTATAACCTGGATATCTGCTATTGAGATTCGACGCACCGTCACAAGTGAAGAACGGCCCAATCTAGCCATATAACGGCTGCAACGAGGAATGCTTCGGGCTGGCAGCCGAGAGCACTCCCCAGTCAGTTTCGGTGAAGCCAACGGATCGCTATAGCCAAAGGGAAGAACTCAAGTCAGCCAGGAACACTTATATGCAT